ACTCTTTCATTAATATGAATAGTCAAATTTATATAATTTGGAAATCACAATCTCACGTTATTATCATTGCATCGTAGGAAAATGACTTGGACTTTTTTGTTTGGAGTGCTATTTTGAATATTGAGAGTGACTTGAAACCATAATTTTTTCTTTTTCCTAATGGATTATATATATTGACAGGTACTCTATCATATTATAAAATAAATGGACGTAAGTTTGGAAATCATATCGTTGCATCAGTTTGCTATATTATAATCATTTTCCATAAGTATCATCTTGTGTAAGATTGTCAAAAGAAATATTTTCGAGATTTATAGTATTAAAGGAAAGCCCATAGTTTTTATGAAAATGAAAACCCAAAATTTTCAAGAAACAACCTTCTAAACCTGTAGAAAAAAAAAAGGAATCATAGAACATATTTTATGGTATTGTTGGGATTATAAAGCAATTCATGTTTTTTTTATACTATGTAAATAAATCATATTTAATTAAACCGAAAAATAATGCAAATGAAATATAATAACTATTAATTATATCTCTTTAATTTTCTTCACAAGATATATAATAACATATTTTGGCATTGTTAAAGCAAATGAACTGGAGTTCCTTCAATGGGTGAAATTTAAAAAAAATTATATTTTTTATATCTAAATAGTCTCATATTATAAACAAAAGATGCATGTAAATAATATAAATTAATAGGAAAACATATGTGTCATTTCGTCAAAGGAATTCCCATAATTAAATTCCTATTCCACACCATATATCATCTCATAGCCCAAGAATCTCATTTTTTTGTTAGTCTAATCGTTTCCAAAGAAAACTCTGCATCTAATCATAGAGTATTATGATATTCTAAAATAAAAATAATGCATAGCATCAAAAATTAATGAAAATATGATTTAATTATAAAGTGGGACAAATCATACGGTCGGTAGAAAGTACAAATATCACAATGATTGTATGTTGAGAAGTCCGAGTCATCCATTATGAATGCGTACGAACTACAACTACGTTGCATGCAAAGCATTTTTTATTTTATTTTTAAATAAATTTTCACAAAAAAATAAATAATTCCATTCCGAAATATCTTTTATGGTTATGACTATAACTCACGAGGTTTCTGTTTTTGGTCCTAAAGTCATGAAATGAAATTCTGTTTAAAGTCGCAACTTGGAGCTTAGAACCCAAATTACGAAAACGTGCTTAATTACTTTTACGGACACAAACTGAGTGATGTCGTGAGCCCAATCAAAGTGAGCCGTGAGCCCATAAAGCCCATTTTAAATTTATAGTGGATCACGAGAATACTAAAAAAAATGTTTTTAAATTACCAAGGTTTCCGTCTGTGGTCATGTGCCACTTGGCATATAGAATTCAGTTCATCGGGTTATTTTTATTCATTTAAATATATATTTTTTTATAAAAAAATATGGTTTAGAAATTAAAAAAAAAAACATTAACACGATACGATATAGATGGAATTTTATATAGACCGTTCATCGTGTACTCACTTCTTGTGTTAATGTATAGGTAATTATTATTTCTTTATACACAAGTGGAAAGTATTTGGCCACTTAATGAAATGGAATCTTGTAATAACCACAATGGTTGGTGGGTTGGGTCACACATCTTTTTCCACGTCATATATTTTTTTTCTTTCCCAATTCTATCTTCTTCCTCCGCATAAATGAATGGTAGATTCTTCTTTTTGGGAGTTAAGTAATAAAATTTCGTGTATTTAGATACAATTTCGATTTTTTTTTTTTTTTTTTTTTTAAAAAAGTCATGTTATGATAAGAAGAATACGACCGAAAAAATAACAATAAAAACGTAAGAAATGTTTTTTTAATAATTTTAATATTAAAATTATTATTAATGCATTCTAACAAATTTTAAATTGCGCTGAACAAAATTGAATTCGAGTTATGTTCATTTTTCTCTCTCCAAACTAATCCAATTAAACAAGAGTCCCAACTTTAAAATCTTATTTCATTGTCAATTGCTTTTTTTTCGG